TTTAGATTTCATATCATTTGTAAGCTCTAATTGGGTTGTCATCAATTACCAAAAAGAGGGAGATTGTAAGTGCAATCAAGCCCTATTGTGGGTTTTGATATTGATGACCACCAAATTAGAGGACTAATGAGATTTATCGAGATGACAAGTAGGGAATCAAAGAATGAGGATGATGAACAGGTTGCAGGTGTTCTAATTATAAAAGGTGGCCAGACCTAGCTCAAGAGAGGTTTAAATTCTTTTATGTTTTGAATTTGAGTTTAGGAAAAGCCGTACTATCAAGAGGGATTTTAGGATAGTTGGTCAACTGTTGAATCAGATGCTCAAATTCACATGTTTACATCCTTTCACCTAGTCAAAACAGTCAGCCAAATTTTATATCATATTACCTGTTTTGGCTAGGGCGGCAGTGCCGCCCTTAACTGACCGTTGGGCTCGGGGGGTATTTATACCTTTCAGGCCCGGCCCACAACGGTCATCTTCTCCACTGACTCACTCTGCTTGAAAACAGACAGAACCAAAGCTCACCCCTCTCCTCCATTGTTGCTCCTCCATCCCTCAAGCTAATCTTTGATTCTAACCATCAAAACTTGAGAGAAAAGGCAGCAAAACTCGATTGGAGAGGAGATTCACTGATTCCCAAAGTCTAAGTGCATTTGGTTCACGTTTGGCCGGCGGTTCTAGGGTTTGTTACTCTTGGAGCTTGCTCCTAGCCGGCTAGGCGTCGCCCTTGTGCTTGCTAACTCGTGTGGCAGCCTTGGGAGGTTTGTAACCTCATTCAAAAGCTAAGAAATCACCCCTCACTTTAAGAGTTTACTCTTTTGATTTGAGAACGAGGGTAAGACAAGCCTTAGTGGTAAGCTCAAGCCTTTTGTGGCTTCCTCAACAACGTGGACTTAGGCAAACCTTAGTGGTGAGCTGAATCACGGGATAAATCTTGTAACTTGCGTGCTTTATCTTTACTATACTTGTTTACCATATTGCTAGCTGTTGCTAGGGTTTAGTTGCTCGATTCACTGTTGTGTGAAGATTCTGTGGTATCCAGTCTTTGAACTGGATCTTGGCTTTATATTGTAGGATTAAGCAACTAGTTTGGTCAGATTCATATCTGTTAAATCTCAACTGTGTTAGATTATTTTTCATAGAGTAACAGTGCCACCCTGTAAGGCCGGCTAGTGCCGCCCTCTGTTCTAACAGAGTTTTGAGTTGAATTTTTTACAGTCCTATTCACCCCCTCTAGGTCTCCTTTATCTTCCTGTCAATCCTATAAGTACTTGCAAGAATGTTCATCTTTTCCTCACTTACATTAACAGGAAACATCATTGATTTACTGTAATTGACCTTAAGCTCAGTAAATTCAGCAAAGGAATTCTACTACCAGTTCACCACACAAGGCTAGCAACTAACAAGCTACTCGTACCTAGCTAAACAAGAAGAGCAACTAAACTAGCTACTCAACTAACTTAAGCTACCACTAAGCTAGAGAGCCACAACTACTAACAACTACAACACACAAGCAATATACGAATGTAAGAGCACAAGTGTAATATATAACATATTCATGCATATAACATAATACCAAGCCCGATTGTTTTGGATTATGAAGTACTTGGCTCATTAAGCTCGCGAGTTAGTTCATTAACTTAACGAGCTAAAATGCTAGTTCAGCTCGTTAAAAAAAAGTAAATGAGCCGAGCCGAGTCAAGCTAAACTAGAAGCAAGCCAAGCGAGCTAGCGAGCCACGAGTTTTTTGTCCAGCCTTAAGCACAAGTGTGAGTAGCAAACCGAGTCGGGTAAGAGGAAGACACAAAATTTATTTCCATGGTTCAGTTGCTTGCTATCAACCTACCTCCACATTGGCGAGTCTCAATGATTCACGCGCTAACAAACCTCTCAAGCTTGACCCACAATCGAATGCCGCAAAAATTCAAACATGACGAGCACTCCAACTAGCAACGAGTATTCCACTAGAGTAGCCCTTTGCAATCTCTGTGAGGTGGGGGCTACCTCGCTCGTGTCTAACATGGCACCATGTAAGATGACTGATATGGCGCCACATCATCCAAAATTGCTTCCAAAACAGTTCTGAGAGGTAAATCGGATAGTTTCAAGATTTGGAAGAATCTAAAAATCAGTTTTGTAACTGAAGGAGGTAAATCGAACTCATGTAATAATGAAGAGAGGTCAGATGTACTTTTTCCAATTAAAAATGATTTTTTCCTTACTGGCAAAAGGTACAGGTTTGGGCCAACTAGATCGCAGTGTCCGGGCTACATCATGTTGTAGAGCCGAGGCCAGTAAAGAGGCCAGTGTGGCCTTGTAAATATGGTCGGTCTGTATAGCATGTTTTCCTCTTTGTGTAAGGGCCTATATGCATATATGCCTAGCTCATGTACATATTTGGGTTGTTACTCCTAGAATAGATCGTGCTCCATTCCTCCTAACAACACGCACCAATCTGCAGTGTTTCTTTTATTTGTGCATCCATTCACGGTTTATGTGTATAAGACATGAAACCATGGTTGGTTTCTGACCAAAACAAAATAAGGGAACAAACATTGTTCTTTACAAGCCTTTTAGTGGTATAGTTTTCATAAAATAATGAATAAGCAAGCAAAGAACATCCACTATTACACAAAATTCTTTTACACATCGTTTCACAATTGGGCTCCGAGGTAGTTGGCCTGGTTGCCCGCCTCGGTTATTCGAGGCACGGCAGCCAGGCCAGCAACCACCTCGGTTAATAATTAACAAGCATATTTTCTCTAAAGTAACGCTTGATTACAATTCTTATTCTTTGACTTTATAATCCTTAGCCTTTTTTATTTCCACAGATCACTTTTCTTCCGAAGGAAACGTTGTTTATTCTCCAGAATTTCCAGAGGCTGCACATATGAACAGTATCAAAACACCAATATGAAGGGTAAATCTAACGCAACAAGTTAATATCTTAGAACCACATACAAAATTTTCTAATTAGTGTGAAATCATGTATGATGTAGATTGAAGGTCATTGGCCATATTCGCTTTGATGAAAAGCCATGGCTGAAAGTATTGTTCGCTGATTTGTCGTGAGAGGAAAATCACTGTTCGTTTGCTGAAATAGTACGGCTCATAAGACAAGCGAACATGGCCATTATCACAAAACAGATAAATCCACACTGTCACTATCAAATACTACACTGTATTGCGTACTTAAAATTGACAAGTGCCAAAGAAAACAGGGAAGGTGCCAATTTGGTTTAACAGGTTCAGCTGACCCCATTGAACTTTTAGTAAATTGCATAGAATAGAAGATATTGTCGAGGTACCAATGACCCCCATCCACTTATTTTGCTAACCTCAATCCCCTTGATTCCCAGCTCCCTCCCTGGAAATATTAAGCAGGATTGAAATTACAGATGGACATCTTGATTTTGTTGATTATATTCTTCTACACAAAATCCTACCTAAATGTCAACATCTAGGATGGACTGACAGATTTTGACCTGAAGGACTTCTTCCTCACCTTTTTTTTTTCAAATTTGAGGAATTTAGATCTGTAGTTTTCTTTCAGTCTTCAGATTCAGAAAAATGCATTGAATATAGAAAACCTACACGTTTAGGTGACAACATTCAAGTGAAGATGGAGGTTTGTTTCATGACATTGGTATCTTCAATGTAATATAGGGTTCAGTTTCCAATCCTAAAACTTTTTTCTGGATGAAGAACATTTCCGTGAATTTCAATGCCACTAACTAGTCCAATATTGTAAACAAAAGAAGTACTCTTACAGCTGATATATTACTATTGATGAAGGAACAGAAGCGCAGCAAGAGTCAAGACCAAGACATAAGCAAGACAAACAAAAAATTAGGCATGTAGCTGATCCAATTTTGGGTATGGCAGAGAACGTGGCTTCCTTCATCTTGCTCTTGGTCTTTAGCTCGTCCTTGCTGATTCTCACTCTCACCAAGTTGCAGACAATGTCCTATGACTTGTCTGATCATGAAAAACAAGAGAACCAATTCCTGCCGGCCGTTTGAAAAAAAAAATCCCGTTATGCCACCATATACTAAGATATATGCTCCATGTTTGACAGTTTGCCTACTTATGAGAACTTTTTGTTCAAGGTGTTAGTTTTGAAAATAACTTTTCAAGGATAAAATAAAATTTGTTGATACAGGTATAGAACACCAACGTTATCAGGTCATTTTTCATCAAAAGGAAAAATGTTGATGCTGGTTCAAACCATGGAAACATGCATCTTATTTACAAGACAACAAATATGCAGTAATGGAATCAAACAAGCATTGTGATGGTCTTTGAGACACAACAATCAATACATGCTTAAAAATAAATGGATAAAAAGAAGATCAGTTATTTAACAACTTATACGGTAATGCCGAATTGGTTAACACAAGCTGAGAACTGAGTAACGATTACAGCAGCTCCGAAGAAATTGAACCTACAGAAACAAAGCAGCTTATGGCAGGAATGGATTTGGGGTTAGGTGGAGTATGTAAGACCATCAATAAAGTAAGATTAGTACTGTTCTAATCAGCAACAATATATCCCAATCCGGCGGTTCACGAGGTAGCATAGAAACACATCAATTGTTTCCAAAGCGATTGCTAAACTAGTAGCTGGTTAAATAACACGAGAATACAATCACCAGTACCCCAGTGGCAAGATGCGACAGTACATAAGACGATAATTGAATAACACAGTGTGTAGCACTAGCAATCAGCAGAAACAAACCACTAGCAAATTATTAAGGTATTTCAATAACACCAGGATGATGACTGCATCTACGTAACAGTGCTCCAACTCAGGATAGTCGGATCGGATCTTCGATCCTCACACACACACAGAGAGACGCAGACACAAATTTTTTGCTTGCTTGGTTCCCTAGTTCTCCACCGCCGTGGCATCCTCCTCGCTGTCAGTGACCTCACTTTCGTCCTCCGCTCATAGTCACGGAGCTTGGCATCGACAAAAGTTGTGAGCGCATAGAACTGATGGAATTCACGGGAACGCTTTGCCAGCTGAACGGGAGTGAGGTCTTCGACGCTTCTGAACGGCCTAGCCACCATGAGATCGATGAGCGCCTTGGTCAACCTCTGCTTGACCACCCTCTTCCTCTTCTTCACGGGCCACGCCGCCTCCGCCGCCGCCGCCTTGGCCTTCATCTCCCGCCAGTGATCCATCCAGATATCACTGCCCCCGGGACACGGTTGAAACGCAAGAGACGAACAGCAGCCAACGCCTCCTTCGTCGCCTTCAGGACAAGTTTTACGCCTGCTTCTTCGTCTTCACCATCCCGTACCCCTCCGACGCGCTCCCCTGCAACTTCCTGGCGCCCATCGCAGCAGGCGTGAGCGTAATGGATCTCCCTCTACCTCTCGAAACAAAACAGAGCGGAAGCTTGAGCTTATAAGCAATAACCAGGCTCTCCTTTTTTTCCCGACCATGAAATAATATTTTTCTCTTATAATAAATTAGTCTCTGCAAATTAGTCACATCAGCAGCGGTAAGTCCTGCCGATTGGACGGCGGCTATCGACTCCACGGAAGAACAAAACCTAAACGGTAATGCTTGGGAGCGGCGCCCTGGTTTAATTGCCCTGCGCGGGTGAGAGAGAGCCGGGAACGGGAACGGGAACGGGAACGGGAAGGAAAGCGCCGTCGGATTCTAATTCCGATTCTGATCGCGCCACACCCACGCCTCCCCAGCCTGTTTGTCCACTTCTGATACGCGGGCCCAAGGTGGCCTTTTTACTCATCCATTATTATATTATTATTAACCTCTTTTTTATCTTATATATTATAGAGAGGCGTATTAGTTTTTAATTTGTATACTTTTTTCCTTTTTCAAAAACATTTGGCGGCTAAAACGCAAAACTAGGAGGTGGTTTGATCATTAGCTAAAATTTAGCCCTCGTCACATAGGATATTCGAATGCTAATTAAGATGATTAAATATGAGCTAATTATAAAATTAATTGTAGAAACCATGGCCGATTCACGAGATGAATTTATTGAGCCTAATTAATCTATCATTAGCACATGTTTGTAGCACCACATTGTCAAATCATAGACTAATTAGACTTAATAGATTCGTCTCACGAATTAGCCCTCATCTATGTAATTAATTTTATAATTAATCTATATTTAATATTTCTAATTAATATCAAACATCCTATGTGACGGGGCTAAACTTTAGCCCCCTAGTATCCAAACGGGGCCTAACCATATACCCCCAACTAAATTAATATTATTGGCAAAAAAAATATCAATTGGCGACATAGTTATTAGCATCAGATCGAACCGATGATTAGGCAGTTAAAAACCAGAACGAGAGACTACACCGATCTAGTTCGCTTCAATGACTATCGGGCCAAGTTTTACGGAACCGGTGAATTCCATTTGAATCAAGCTGTTTGAAAGATTATTTCATTTTGGTAACTGAGTAACAACAAGATTAATGGACTAACACTTTCTATATGAGATGATTAAGCTAGGTTAGTCCAGGCCATGGATCGGAGATGGCATGCACATGTGGTGATTGGTGAAAAGTTCAACAAGTGATGAAGGGAGTTGGAATGCAAAGATGGAGAAGGATGAAAGCAAAGCCAAGGACAAAAGGTATAGGCATAGATTTTGCTTTCGTCATACAAAGGTGCGTAGAGAAGTGAATGGTCAGGTTTAGACCCTGTTTGGCATAGCTTAGCTTCACCATTTAAGCTATTTTTTTGTGTTTTAGCTTAACGACAAATAGCTTTCTCAGTGAAGATGAGCTGTTTTCTAAATCCCGTTTGGCATAACAACTTCACTTGTATTGGTGCACCAAATGAATAAAATGAGCCTAATGTCCTTAACTTTTATTTCCCTTTCATATTCTTTCGTATCTTATTCCTCGCTCCCGTGCCCCCGACGACAATGTCCTCGACACCGCACCTCGACCTACGTATCCTCGGCCCACCCTCCGCCCCCTCGGCCCCTGCGCATCCGATGGCGGCGGCCCAACCCTGCGCCTTGGCCACACACCCCGACGACGGTGGCCCAGCCTGCGACCCCGGAGATGGCGCCCCGGCCCCGCTCCCCAACGGCTCCGCTCCCCACGGCCGTGCTACTGCCCGGTGGCGGGCTTGGCGGCACGCCGTCCGCACCACCACGCGCCTCCCCCGGTGGCCACGTGCCTGCCCAGGCGGGCTGCACCCTCATGGCCATGCAACGGCGAGACGCGCCCGATCGCGCGAGGTCTCTGCCGCTCCCTCTCTGCTTCCATACAGTCTTTTAGGTCCACCGGCGCTTTATCCATACAAAGTCGAACTAGATTTACATGCGTGTTTTAAGGTCCGCTTAATGGTTTAGCCCACTTATCTATTATCTCTATTAAGCAAGAATTTTCCTATTTTTTTGACCGCTTAAACTCTCTTATTTCTTTACCCCTATAAACAAAACAGCCGCTTACCGCCTAGAGGCCATTTAATATCGGATGAAGACAAACATTGCTTGCTGCTGCAGCTCCCAAAATTTTTAGTTTTGACAACACCGAAGGTCCTTTAGGTTTGCCCACACAGCCGCATTACTGCACTATCTCAGCACTACTTTCCTTTTTGAAAGGATCAAGCACTCCTCTTGGTTGCGTGAAAGAAAAAAAAAAGCGTGGGATGACGCGATGCGAGACAACCAACCGAGCTCTCCCAGCTAAGGAGTTCAGCACGCGAAACAATGGCCATGTTTGTTTGCGCGATGCTTAATCGTGAACGAAGCTGGCTCCAAACCTGTGTTTTAGGAATCATCATACACTGTAGTTCATTTTCTCACGTTTCAACCCGCGGGCGACTGACAGACGCGTGTTTGTTGCGGTGCGTTCGTGGGATTATTCTTCCTTTTTCGCTCAATCGCGATGCCCGTACTTTCCAAAAAGGTGTTAAATGAGCTGCAGATTGTTCCTTGGAAGATAACTTCAGATCAATTGCCTTTTAATAAAAAAACATTATATATAAAAGGAATAAGAGCAGTGGCCTTTTATATTTCAAAAAAAAGCTGGACGCCATCATTGGGTTGGGTTGGGCCGGTTTAGCCCGAGAACTGATAAGAATCTCTCACGCCACGCAATGACGCGCAACGCATGGCGCGGAGCACCGATCTCCACTTCTCCAGTCCTCCACTCGGGGATCCCCACAAAAATCCCTACAAATCGGAGGGGCTTGCAGCGAAAAAGATCACCCGCGCCGTCCCCAGATCGCCTCCGTGTGGACTGCAGCCGGCGACGGGGGCGAGACAGACACACCAAGGAAGCACGGCGTCCCCCCCTTGCCGCTGCGGTGAAATGTGGGGGTCCAAGAGTGCCGCCATGGATTGCCACGGCCGAGCTGAATCGGCCAGGCCTTCTTCTCCCTCTTCCATTCGGCCGCGATTCCTCATCAGCCAGCAGGTGCATTTTTTCTTGGCCTGCGATGCTCTGCCCCCTCCCCCAACCCCACCCCAAGATTGGACCTGATGCGGATTAGGTTTTTTTTTCGACTTAGAAAATGTTGGTTTATTAATCTCCTCCGGAGGCAAAGCATTTTTGAATCGTTGGTGACCTGAGGATCAGTTAATTTTCGCTACTTGTAGGATTTAGCAGCCTCTCTTTGCTCTGGAATTGGTCACTCATGTTATATGCGATATATACGGAGTAGTACTCGTTGCTAATTGCTCAGCGTTCTTTAAATAAATGGGGAAAAACTACATACTCCGGTGTTTTACGTGCAATTCTACCTTTGGCAGCTTGTTCTGTACTGTATCGTTTGTGCACTACATTTTGCCTTTTCATGAGCTCTGAGCCTATAAAGGTGTGATCTGACGTGTTGATTTTGCAGATACCATTTTGCTCAATACAGCTGAAGCCGGTTCACCTAGGAATGCAGAAACATGTTGTATTGCAAGAAGCAGTCATCTAAGTTTACAAGATCATTTCCTTTTCATCTGAATCAGTTCTGCTGAGTCTTCATGAGATCGTGGGGCTCAAGTCATATTTGACTGTGGTGTGGTGACGCTGTCACCAGTAAACTGAAGCGCTTGTGAAATTTGTGCGGGTGTTTACATAATGGAAGACAGGAGTGTTTTGATGGAACGGTATGAAATTGGGAGACTCTTAGGGCAAGGGACCTTTGCAAAGGTATATTATGCCCGTAATCTTGCTACTGGTCAGACCGTTGCCATAAAAATGATCGATAAGGACAAGATTATGAGGACAGGTCTCATGGACCAGATAAAAAGGGAGATATCGATAATGAGGATGGTAAGGCATCCGAACGTTCTGCAGCTTTTCGAGGTAATGGCTACCAAGAACAAGATTTACTTCGTTCTGGAGTACGCCAAAGGCGGTGAGCTTTTCAACAAGATCGCAAAGGGGAAGCTTACCGAGGAGGCTGCGAGGAAATATTTTCAACAGTTGATCAGTGCTGTTGACTATTGCCATAGCCGAGGTGTTTATCATCGTGACCTGAAGCCTGAGAACCTGCTGCTGGATGAGAATGAAACCCTCAAGGTCTCTGATTTTGGTTTAAGTGCCTTAGCTGAGTCGAAGAGACAAGATGGTCTACTCCACACTGCTTGTGGTACTCCGGCTTATGTTGCTCCTGAAGTGCTCAGCAGGAAAGGCTACAGTGGTGCAAAGGCAGATGTGTGGTCTTGCGGAGTAATTTTGTTTGTGCTTGTGGCCAATTATCTTCCTTTCCATGATAAAAATCTCGTAGAGATGTATAAGAAAATTTCAAAAGCCGAGTACAGATGTCCTCGTTATTTTTCTGTGGCGTTGAAGGAGCTCCTTTACGGAATCCTTGATCCAGATCCCAATATCAGGATGTCCACCTCAAGGATAAAAAGAAGTCCTTGGTACAGGAAGCCCACTGGGATGGCAGCACTGAAAAATGTAACTTCTGACAAGACCTTTGGCTTGACGGGTGATGCTGATTCCGAGAAAAATCAAGGATCATTGAGCCTGACGAACTTGAATGCATTCGACATCATTTCCCTCTCTACAGGATTTGATCTATCCGCCTTATTTGATGAGAAACATGGCCAAAGGGAGGCATGGTTTACTTCCAAGGAGTCAGCAGCAGCTGTCTTTGAGACGCTGAGCGAACTGGCCAGACGTTTGAAGCTTAAATTTACATACAAAGACAATGGTGTGTTGAATTTGGCCACAACCAAGGAAGGAAGAAAGGGCATGCTTGAGCTTGATGCTGAGATATTTGAGATTGCTCCTTCTTTCCTACTAGTCGAGTTAAAGAAGACCAATGGCGACACATTGGAGTACCAGAAGATGATGAAAGATGACATTAGACCATCACTTAAGAATATTGTTTGGGCATGGCAAGGTGATCA